AACTTTAATGTTTGGAAGTATTTTTATCTTAAAAAATAACCGGCGTTACATTGTTTCTAAGACAAACTTTTGTAGTTTGTCTACAATATCACTTTCCATAGCGAAAAGAAAGAGCAAAAAAGACGAGCAATCGCGACACAAAACCACGGGCAACCTAAACCCTACGCACGCACAAAGCAGAAGGAAAACAAAAGAACAAGATGCAGAAGGAAAACAAAAGAACAAGATGCAGAGCGGGGATCATCACCCTCTGAGAACCAACACCAATGAAACCCCAAATCCTGGATCTCACTGGGAGAACTAAACTTTAGAGAAAGAAACTCGATAATGGGAGACTTGTTCGAGATATAATGATAGATAATTCATATTTTGGTTCCACAAAATTCGTATAACCAATAAATAAATAAAAGATAAATCAAAAGAATTACAAAATTGAAAAGTAAACAAATAAAATTATTAACAAAATATGTGGCGAAAGAACCTCACTGTATATATAGGAAAGGAGTTTGTAGCGGACAGTGCCACTTATTATTATTAGAGTACATTGAGCATAAGAATTTGATTACATCAAACCTTCAAGAAAAAGTTGCAAGAGAATGGGTCTCCACCACCACCACACGGCCGCGATGGTCTCCTTCTACAACAACCATCTCTGCCCCCTTTTCGACACCATCGACCGCCTCTGCCACCTCGAGTTCATTCAGGAAAACATCCAGCACCCCACCATCGTGGTGGTCGGCGACCAGTCCTCTGGCAAATCCAGCGTCCTCGAATCCCTCACCGGCATCAGCCTCCCACCCGGCACCCGCGTCCCCCTCATCATGCGCTTCCAGAACCACCCAAACCCTATTCCCGAACTCTCCCTCGAGTTTAGCGGCCGTACCATGCCCACCGACGAAGCCAATGTCGCCAACGCCATCATCCTCGCCACCGAGGAGATCGCCGGAAAGGGTAAAGGGATTTCAAACATCCCTCTCACACTGAACGTGAAGAAGAGCGGCGTCCCGGACCACCTCACCATGGTTGACCTCCCCGGAATCACCCAGGTGCCCATCCTCGACCAGCAGATCTCAAAGATCATCATGGAGTACATCACTCTGGACAAGAGCATCATCCTCAACGTCCTCTCCGCCAGCATGAACCTTAATATCTGCGAGTCCATCCGCATGTCCCAGCAGGTTGACCCTACGGGACAGAGGACCCTGGCCGTTGTGACCAAGGCCGACAAGGATCCCGAGGGCCTCTTCAAGAAGGTGACATCGAACAAAGTCAGCATCGGCCTTGGCTACATCTGCGTGCGCAACAGGGTTGGGGTTGAGACGTATGAGGAGGCCCGAGAGAAGGAGGCCCAGCTGTTCAAGTCGCACCACCTCCTGTCTGGGATAAGCCGGTCGATGGTCGGGATCGCTGTCCTGGCCCAAAGGCTTGTCCAGATCCAGGGGAAACTCATCATCAAGTGCCTGCCTCAAATCAAACGGAATGTCAACAACAGGCTGTCTTCCGACATGGATGAGCTGAGCAAGCTGCCGGACACCATTACCTCGCCCGCCGAGGCCTGGATGGCCTTCGACCAGATTCTGCGCAACACAACAGAATCTCTTAAAAAGATTTTGCTGACGGGAGCATTCGACGAGAAGGACAGGCTGACTAAGATGCTCAACCGCTACTCTGATGAAATGCAGGTCAAAGGCGAATCAAAGGATAAAGAGGAGTTCCTGGTGGATGAGATTAACGTGTTGGAGGCGATGAAACGGCCAATCGGTGTGTTGTGGAAGATGAAACCAATCGGGCCTCCGTATCTTCTACCAAGGGAGGCTTTTCTCATCCTGCTTGAGAAGAAGGTGAATGGGGTGTCTTTCATGGCTTTCGAGTTAATCGACACTATGTGGGCCTACATTGAGAAGGTGGTGATCTCGGTCGTCACGAAGCACTCGTGTAACTACCCACACCTGCTTTCGTCCATGAGGCAGGCCACCTTGAACCTGGTGGCCAAGAAGAGGAAGCAATCGGAGGTTTGGGTCAGGGATATGATCGAGATGGAGAAGACGACGGATTACACGCGCAACCCCGAGTATGAGGCTTTGTGGAGCAAGCTCTTGGCCAACCAGAACAGGTTTGAGGAGATTCTCAAAAATGACTCAAAGCCGACAAATATGTTGATTGATGGGTACGGTAATGTCGATATCTCACACCTCAGGGGCAGGGCGACGTGGGTCGTGCTTGAGGCATTCGACCTGAAGATGAGACTGACTTCCTACTGGAAGATTGTGCTGGGAAGGCTGGTCGACAACACGGCTATGCATTTGATATTTAATTTACGAAATCTGGTGAACAAAGAAATGAGGCCGGAGATCAATAATGAGGTGATGGGTGTGGGATGGGAGGGGCTGGAAAGGATGCTGGAGGAGTCTCCGGTATTGGCTGAGAAACGCAAGAGGCTGAATAATAGTGTCGAGTTGCTCAAGGAGTCTAGTGATGTGGTGGCCAAGATGTTTGATGATGTTATCTGTGGTATTAGCAGGCTTGTCACAGGTGGTATATATTAGCATGTGATAGGTTATTTTTTTAAGTTTTTTGTTCTCATCGATTGGGTTTTGTAGTTGTTTTGGGAAGATAAAATAAAATTTAGGGAAATGCTACGGTCCCGTTACGAAACTATTCTGTCGGGGTTTGTAACCGTTAGATCATCATGTAACCATCGAGGATAGTTAATCTAACGGTTACCAACCCTAACAGAATGGTTTCGTAACGGAACCGTAGCATCTCCCTAAAATTTAACCTATGTTTTACATACAAATAAGAACTAGTTTGTGTGAAAATATTGTTGGCGGTGGTTATCTTCATTTCACGAGTTCAAGCAATGCAAAACAGAATTAGCGTGTGCCATAAGTGGTTTCATATAATCATATTGTTGGTATTATTAGCATGTGATAAGTGGTTTCATTTTTGTTTTCGGCATGCAAATGAGAATTAGCGTGTGATAATATTTCTGGTGTGATAGGTAGTTTCTTTTAAAAAAAAAAAAATTGCTAAACACCACTTTTTACTATACTAGTGAGCAACCCGTGCGATGCACGGTAAAACTTGTTCCTCAAAACCTATAAAAAACTTAATTTTAAATATAATTACTGAAAATTAAACATTTTATTATTGCAAGAAAATAAATACAAAGTATGAAAAAACATATATTGTTAAACAATTCTCTATACACAACATTTTTTGTTTGATTTAGTGGCAAACCTTATTCTCCACAAACTAAAATTTTCAAATATTTGAGTAAAAAAATTTAAATTATAATATATTATTTGTAGTGTGATAAATCAGAATATCTTTAGTGTGATAAAATGTGTTGAGATAACTATGATCATTTGACAAAATATTTTTTAGTATATCTTAAAAATATAAATTTAAAAAAATAAATATGACAATTTGATGAAATGTTTATTAGTAATCTGAAACTTTAAATTTTGAAAAATGACGGTATATGTGTCATGTTTTAGGCATTAATCGATCAGATAATACAAAATCCATATATCTGATTTTCAGAGTCATACGAACGTGACATTGACTTTATTTTTTAATTTCAAATTTAAACAAATCAAAAGACAAATTATTAGGTAGTTATGAAAAAATGTTTCCAACAAACTATTTTTTAATGTCAATTTTTTTTTTTTTTTTGGTACAAATTTTTTAATGTCAAATTTAACAAATCAGAAGACAATTATTAGGTAGTTATGAAATAATATCCAACAAACTTCAAATTAAACGGCGTACAACCATCAGATCTGGAGTTGGTCCAGTCGGCGATCACCACCGGTCTCGAGGTCCGGCGGCTCCCCGACCCGACATTCTCCACCACCTTCAATATGTCGTAATCCTCCACCACTTGCCCGAACACCATGTGCTTGTCGTCAAGCCACTTTGTCCTTGTCGTGCAGATGAAGAATTGCATATCGTTTGTCCCCAGCCCGACATTCGCCATCGACAGATTCCGATATGCTTTCTCACGATGTTTTTGTCACCGAACTTGGCGTCGTAGGTCGACTCGCCGCCAGTGCCATTACCCGCAGTGAAGTCGAGCTCTGGCAAATGAAATCGGGGATTACACGATGGAAGGATGACACTTTATGGTGGAGGGGCTTGCCAGATTTGCCGACGCCTTTCTCGCCGGCGCCTAGGGCGCAGAAGTTCTCGACGATCTTCGGGACGACGTCGGCGAAAATCCAAGGATTCAATAGGTTGATTTTGTATTTTTTATTTAGGGGCTTTTTGTAATTTTTTTATTTGAGACTAATTGTCTTTTTTTTTTTTGGTCTCAATCTTAGGGTTTTGTGATTGAGTGGGGCGGGGTTTATGTAAGGGATCGATTGGGTGCAAACTTTAAAAAGATGGATTCTTTCTAAACTTTAAAAATATTTTGTGGTTAGATAAGTACGGAGAAAAAAAATATTTACCAAGAATTAACATAATATGAGATCCTTTCCAAACTTTAAAAAGATTTTGTAGTTAAATAAATATGGACAAAAACAAAATATCCATAGATAGAGAATTGCCCGGATTTTCAAATCTTTTTTTTTTTTTTATATATAAATCAACATGTGCTTTGGGTGGGAATTTATGATTTTTTTTATATAAATCCATTATCAGTAAAAACGAAAATTTTAGTTGGGATTTTACATACTATTCACAACTAAATGTTTTGTCTTTTTTTATATATTCATAGATATATATTTAGGCCGTGAATTTTTGTAAATTAATAATTTCATTATATAATATGATTATATGGCAGAAAATAAGTCGTTTCAATCCAATAAGTCATATATTATTTCAGTTAAAGAATATTAACCACCAAAAAAAAGAAAAGAAGTTAGGAATTAGGTCATAAAATAATATAATTTATTATTTTAAAGAAATAAAAATCAGTATATTTACACACAAAATTCATAAATATAAATAACTAGTACAACACCCGTGTATTACACGGGTGCTTGCTATTTTTTTTTTTTAAATCTAAAATTAATAAAAGTATTTTGAAAATTTAAATACCTTTTATAAGAATATATATATTATTATATATTTATTATGACACTTTTTATTTGTGCGACTTACCTGTGTTATATTATACTAATTTTTTTAACTTACAATATATAACTACATTAAATATAAATATAACAATTAAGAAATAATTTTATTTTTCTAATGAATTTTAATAAATATTATTATTTTTTATTATTATAAAGATAAATATAATTTATTTATTTCATATATACAATATGGATGTCAAATCGAAGATCATCAAAAGATGATTAATTTGATATATTATATATGTAAAACCGATAAGAAATACAAAAGTTATCAACTTTTAAAATACATTTATAATTCAATAGCTTATTGAAGGAACAAATCAAAATTCAGGGATATTTTAGTCACTTAGTGACTCACTATATAAAATTATAAAGAATTAAAGGGTTATATTAGTAAAAGTGATATTAAAATACCTAAGTTAGCTAAATAATATTTATGGAATACCCGAACCTAGATTATTAATTATTAATATATCAATATTATTTGTCCAAACCTAATTACGAAGCATGATTCTTCGCCAAGTAGGATTTCGAAGCACCAGAAACAGCCACGTAGGCTCAGCGCATTCGGGAATTATATATAGGGAGGATTTATGTGAGATTGTAGTTTATCAATGTTTAGTATAACATACATTATTCTCAGAATAATTTTTTTTTATTTGCAATATTAATTTGATTGGAAAGAAAATATATAATTGTTTGGATATCTCAATTCAAAATATCAATTTTTTTAGCATAAGAATCTCTAAATTTGTTAGCAATAAAATGGGATTTGTATTGATGAAATGAATTAAATTTTGGCATAAGAATCTCCAAATTTGTTACCTTAAGAATCTCCAATTTTTTTGGGATATCTCATTATATTTTACTAGTACAGAGCCCGTGCGATGCACGGGTGCACAATTTTAAGGTCATTTATCAATTCTTATAATTATATAGATGAATAACAAAAAAAAAATGTACGGGATATATATAGTACGTGACCTGTAATAGGCCAAAATATGAACACGGGTGATGAAGGGGTGCACAATTTTAAGGTCATTTATTAATGCATGTTTGTTATGTTTTTGTGCTTATTTTCTTGTGTTTTATGTGGTTAGTCGAGTCATTTTTAGGTCCGGTTTTGAGTTAATCGGTCCATTTTGTCGTGTTTTATGTGTTTTTGTTTTCGTTATGTATTTTTGTATTTTTGTCGTATTTTTCTTGCGTATGTTGGTGTTGATTAGGTCCACATTATTCGAGTCGGGATGATGAGCTGTTTCAGAGACATTTCCGAGCCATGTCCGAATCTTATTTGAGCCATTCGGACCACTTCCAAGTCATCCCGAGCCATTTTTAAGACGTGAGTCGAACCCAAGAAAGTCCCTACACTCGCAGCTAGACGCGATTGGCGACCTGCGAACAGGCACGCTCCACACAAGCCCACAACTCGCTGCGGAAGAGATTTGGCGCCCCGCGAGATGATGCATGAGAGGAGGCCCATGCTGCGGCACTCGCTGCGAACTCATGTTCGCGTGCTGCGAAATGGTGTGCAAGAGAGCAACACTAGGCACTCGCTGCGGAAGTTGTTTCGCGCCCCGCCAAATGCCACTCTACAGCCACCAAATGCCGAACTCGCTGCGAAATCAGTTTCGCAAGCTGCCAACCGCACATTCCAGCACACTATTCCCCCAACTCGCAGCGAACTTCATTTGGCGAGCTGCGAAATGCACTTTTCAATTGATTTTTTACTCACACTCGCTGCGAATCCAGTTTCGAGACCTGCGAACTTCATGATTTCATTAAATGTGTGTGTTTTTAGTGTGTGTTTGTGGTGCAGCTATATATAGACATTGTGCTTTGTATTTTTAGAGACAACCCTCATTTCCCAACTTTTAAGTTGGGAAAATCCTCTCTATTTTCTTTTTTTCCTTTTTTATATTTCGGTTTGGAGCATATGAATCAAGTTTTCCGGCGAATTTCCGGTGACATTGTTTCGAGTAAAGTTTCGAGCTTTTGACTCCGTTTCTTCTTCCAAGTGCGTGCAAGAGTGGGTACTTAGTCTTAAGCCTCATTACTTCGTATATCTTTGTTTGCTTTCGTGAAAATTGATATTGTGCTTGTGTTGGTTGTAGGAAAAGATTGAATCTTTGGATCGAGAATGCTTGACTAAGTGTGATTAGGAGTTAAGTGCTTGCTCGTTTTGTGCTAGAGCTTGGTTTAGCTTCCTAAGGTTTTAGCTAGCATGGCAGTGTTCGGTTATTTGTGTGCGATTGATCATAGAGACTCCGGCAAACCAAAATCTCTCTTTCCCCCTTGATTTCTCTCATCTTCTTGCGTGCTTAGTTAATTGCTTTCAATTGCTCTCATTTCGTAGATTAATCTAGTTTAAATTCAAACCATCAAATTGCGAGTAGAATGTTTAGGACCTTTTCGGTTGTGTGACGTAGACGACTAGGTAGTGAACGAAGCTCCGAAGAGCCTTCCTTTGAGAACGACCCGAGTCGGGTAGCTCGGTTACCACATGCCCAAAAAAAACTACAAACAGTGCATACCCCGTGCGATGCACGTGATACATATAATAAATCAATTATTTCTATAGGACTGTACGTCTAGACAAAAAATCAATAGGCTTGGATCATCCATATTTCACATCTTTTAATAAGTGGCGTTTATTTAAGCCAAAAAATTAACATGTTAATTAATATATAATTCCGCTAACACTTCATACTAATATTTATTTGATTTTAGAATACATATTTATTCATTGATATAAGAAAAAGTAAAAATTTTATTAATTATTGTTCACCATATAATACTCAATTATTATTTTATTATAAAATTTATAGTCATATAATGTAATTATTATTATTTATAAAAGTTATAGAAGTAGTCTTCTTTATGTAATGAAATTCAAAATAAAATTTTGAGTATAAATGTTTACAAAATAAAATTTTTGGGCAATTGGTAACCGAGTTACCCGGACTCGGGTCGTTCTCAAAGGAAGGCTATTCAGACACGGATTCAAATAACAATTGACTCACACAAGAAAAGAAAATAAAAATCCTAAAAACTCTACTCGCAATTTGGGGTTTGGATTAAACTAAGAACGCAATTTAAGCTAAGACGAAAGCAAGATTCAAACTTAATAGCAAGCAAGACCTCAAGTTGCAAGAAAAGGGAAAATAAAGATAAAAAGAACAAGCTACTCCTAGACCCGAGATGGAAAGAAGGCACTCATAGGTTCGGGAATATGAAACCAAGCGAAAGTCACTCGTGATCAATTAACCTCTCAATGAATTCTCGCTCATGCAATCAATAACAATATCACATAATCCCTAGCCTACGAGGATGGTAGCATAATCGACTCATGGATGTGCCAATCTTAACCCTAGAATAAATCCAATAAGTAAAAACGAGCAAGACTTACGAAATCATGAACCTTAAACGAAGTCTCCAAGTCTCTAGTGCATCCACGAGAAGAAATAAGCCGAAAAGTCGTAATCTTGATGGAGAAATATTACAATAAAAATAGGGTCTTGGAGCCCGTAGAGAGAGAAAGAAAATTAGAGAGAAGGGAGAGAAAAACTAAGAAGAGAAAAATTTAGCAAATGAGGAATTCTCCCAAAAATACAAAGCAAGATGTCTATTTATAGCTACACCACAAACTCACACTAAAAACACACGCATTTAATGATAGAAACTCGCAAGATAGGTTGAATTTGCGAGTTGGGTCTTCAATTTCGCTGGATAATCTCGCTAGCAAGGGTGAAACTCGCGGGGTGCGCTGTGTTCGCGGGCTAGGCGCGAAT